TTTACGCTGACATAAAAAGGCATTCTGTTTAGCATACTGAAGGTGTATGTCAGAGCATATATATAGCAAATTCTAAGAATTCTTTCTACTTCTGATTCTGTTTTGCCATAGAGATGTGATGGCCTGTATGTTTACCGACTTTCTCATTTGTTCCGCTTTTGACATAAGTGTTTTCTTGGGGTCCTCTTGACCTTCTTCTTTCGACAGTGTTTTTTGCAGGATATTTTTCGCTGTGGTAACTGAATAGAAATAGAAATTAAGAGTACTGCAGCTTTTAATAATGTGCTTTGTTGGCTGACAGATTTTTCTATCGTTCTCACTTCGTGGTTAGTGTTTATCAGGTCTTCACCGCTCATTGACAGCCTTTTTTCTTTAGTATTGTAGCTAATTCCGGTTTTCTCCTTTGGAAAGTTCGACATCCAAAGTATGCGTAGATAATTGATTAAGCAGATTTTATATTTCGTAAACTCAAATCTTGCTCAAAATATGCAGTGCACATTTGACGTATTGTGTTTTGATGTTGCTTCTGTCAAATATGTATCATTACAGAAAAAACTACGTCTGAGGAAGTTGTTGCATGAGAACCGGCTCAAAACCTGAAAGAAAACAACCAAGGTTTGTAGGTTGCAAACGAATTTAAGGAGGAGAGTGCTGCACTAGGCGATAAAAACAAGTATTTTCCCACCTTACCTTCATATATTTTTTTGCTTTTTGGTGTCATCGCTTACTTTCATTAGTTACTACGTAGTAATTGCCTTGCTGTTGTCGTTGTATATATTTTCATGTTGGGCAGAATGAAATGTTTTCCCTTATAGGATTAATAAGCATTGTATGCTGAAGTACTGCATATGAGTACTTTGATACCCATATGATCACTGCTGCACGTCTCTCGTCAGCGTAGCGACTTTGTTTGAATACCAAACTTCACTTATTGCCAGCTCTTTTTGTATCTATTTTTCTGTGAATCTGAAACGTCAGCCCTGAAGAGGGTGCAATATAACCTTCATTTAGTTTATCTATTGGCAGCATTTCGGCATAAAAAATTCAAGTGAGCAAGCAAACTGATTTGCCTTATTTAGGAAGTTAGGTCCCTGCGAAAAACAGCCTTCCTCGGACAGCTGAAGCTTTGTCAGAAATAAAATTGATGGCGTTTAACCAGCGTTGATTCAAGTTTTTACTCTCGTATTGACGATCTGAACTGTCAGAGCTTCAGTTCTGCTCTTTAGCGTCGCGTGAATCTTCCTGCTGATGTGTCACTAAAATTGAATGAATGAATCGAATCATGCTTCACAGCTTCTCAGAAACCGCTAATCGCCCTTGATGTGCTTTATCAGCTGTATTGAAACCAAATGACGTATGTTCCAGAAGCTGTCAGTCGGTGATGACTTATGTCTAGGTCTAAACGCCCAAGTTTTTCCTTTGTTGTTTATTTGTGATAAATAGTAGTTTTCTTGGTGTCATTACTTTTTTAAAGTATGCAGGACAGTAAAGCACTCGTTAAAATGAGAAGTCAATGAATTTAGCGTTATTACTAATGTGGACAACAAATTTCAGTCAGGCACATGAGTTTAAAACTGATTTCGCTAGGCAGCGTTTCAGAAAATTTGAGCAGATTCGAGGAGTGGAATTTTTTCGGACCCTTTTTGCCATCGTCATCTTAAGCTGGCAGAAATTGAACAGCAGAGTAGCACGGATGTGTGACGACTGGTCAGTTAAAATTGTTTTAGGTTTATACTTAGCTATATCGACTGCTATATCAAACATGATTATTACTCCTCGTAATCAGACCTGCCGCGGGGCGATGTTTTCAAGTACGGCAATGCAAGATGTCTATGGCTAGCGAATGGTTCACGCGAGCGACAGATTTTGAGCACAATAATAAAAGATAGTCTTATAAGAGAAATTATAGTAATTTCCAATGTTGGTTATGAGTGTTAGATTCCAACGAGGTATCATGGGCATAGATGCAATAGATCCGCCATTCATTTTATGATTTGCATCTCTAGGCATTTGTAATTGACCGTTATTTTATGTTCGGTTCATGAAGAAGGTAATTGAGGTATCCGCCACTGTATGTTGACTACTTACGGCTGTATTCGGTCTCAAGCCTTCGAAGCAAGCAGAAACAGAAGACTCTTCTTTGTTTATATCATCTTTCTAAACGCAGTCAAAATCCTAAATCCGTCTGCTATGTGACGACTGGAAGTACTGTTTACTAAAGGTTAAAATCATCTGTATATATCTGCTGAATTTCGCAGACCGTGCGCTTTTACAGAGTTTAAAAGTGGTGAAGAGATTATGATCCGACAGTGAGGTTTTGGTTCTTTTTGCTCCTAATGTTAGCTCTGACAAAGCTTTCCAAATAGCATCTGTTATTAGCTACGAATCGCAGTTTTTCGTCTGATCCAAGTAGTGGATGTTCTCAACATAATGACACAGAGTGATGATTTATAACGCAGCTCTTATCACCTTCAGTCGTTCGCGATGAGTGATGCTCATTATATTTTCAGCTGTCTTAACTGAAGACGTACGCATTTTGTTTGCAACTTGAATACCTGCCTGGCCATTGAAAGATATTTTTTTTAGCGGTTAATATCTTAACACTGATAAAGTATGTTTATTAATTCGTCATAAATGAGCGACCTGAAGAAGTAAACAGGGAAGGAAAGTATGATTGTGTATGCACAATGGGACATTTCTGCCTATATGTTTCTTACATTCCTAATCATTGGAGGTTAGAGCAGATTTTTCCGTGTAGACGTGTCTTTATTTGTGTTTCTTTATTTTTATTCTGAAAGCAAGAGAGAGAGAGAAAGGAAATAGCCATCATATGCCGTGAAGTACCTCTTGAGATGCAGACCGAATTGTCTGTCTTATTTATTTCTGATAGTCATTTATTTTCCGTTATGCCAGTGAATCGAGTTTTGAATATGCTTTTTTTCTGCCAGTGGTGGAGGACAGCTGCAGACTGCGATCACATCTGTTCAATCTGCATGCGACGTTCTTCTTCGTAGCCCATGGCTTTGTGATCGACGCAGGAAGTTTTAGACGACTACAACATTCTTCGATTTTTCTGCATTTCACCCAAAAATTTATTGCTTGAATATCATTCTCGACGATATCCAACCATCTTGGCGGAAGCCAGCCCCATCTTTTCGTTGCAGAAATCCCTACTGAACTTTATCCACAAACTCAGTGTAGTCCTTTCGATGGCAGTGGTCACACCGCCTCAGATATGTTCTTCAGCCGCTCTCTCGCCTTAGGATATTTTCGAGCTGATTATTCTCTTTGATATTCGATAAAGATTTACTCGGTCCTGTTCTGATCATTTTTCAAAGTTTCATAGTTTCAGCTTCTTAATTAGCAGTGTTGATTTTTCGTTTTGGCCACAGATAAGTCATACGCTTGTTTCTGTAGGTGGCACGCATTACAGGTCTCTCGCGCGGTGATAAACGTACACAGTTATTTTCATTTCTTTCCCATTGATCTTAACTGGCTTACACTATGTACACAAGCTTTTCTCGCCCAGTAATTTGTTATAGTGGGAATGAAATGAACATTATCGAGACGTTGCCAATCGCGGCGGTAAATTCGATGTCACTATGGATTGAGTAGTTGTCAGGACACTGATTATAAGCCAACTGTTTAAGAAATAACATGTACTGAAACTCCATCTTTCTTGTTGCAGGCGGGGCTGGCAATGCACTCGAGAAGAGTTAACAACGGCTGTCCTGAAGAAATCTTGTTACCCACGGTTCGAATAATTGACCGACTTTATTCCGCCTGAACTTTTATACAGATATTGGTTCATGTCAAAATGCTCTCTTATTTTCCGTACTGCTGTGCTCTAATGCCTTTGGTTATTTTTAAGTTCCCAGTTCAAGTAAACCTTTACTTCACACTGTGCTGGTTGCCTGTAGTGGAAGGACGAACAGGTTCTGGCCTTTGCACGCAGGCGTTCGAGTGCAGTGTAATTTAACCTTGGCCTACCGGCAGTTGTCTTGTTCGCCTCTTTTCAGGCAGCAGTTCGTACACGGTGGTGCAACAACGCTTCTAAGTAGTACCTCTTTCTGTTTAATGTCATGTTCATGCTTTATATTTATTTTCAGCGATTATGCTGTTATCTTTTTTCATCGTGCAACAGGTACAGCTGCCCTGTAGGCGGACTGGTTTGCCGATCGGCTGGCATTTTGGCAACAAGTTGCTTTCGACGTTGAATCGTTTTTACGGCAACTTTTAAGTGATGAGTATAGCATATAAAAATTTTTTACTGCTAATTGTCCAGTGTGCTTACCTGCTGGTCATCTGACGAGTCCCCGGGTTGCGGATAAGGGAATGACTTCCAGATATCAAGGTTAGCCGCGACAAATAAGCTGTCGCGGTCAGGCAGCGGTGAAACCACCATGACATGATTGGGTTCAAGCTCGACAAGTTCGTTCCTTACATAAAAGTAGGAATGCCTAATGAAGTTTCATGATAAGGCGAAAGCGATCTGCCCCTTTGAAGAAAAAGGCGGCTAATTTCATTTCTTCCTTGCGGCTAGATGTCGGTTCGTCAAAGGTTAGAAGAGAAAACGTAGATAAAAGCGAATAGAATTAAGAGACCCGTCTATGCGAAATTCGCCAAGACACCGTCAGCCCTGCCAGCTGGTAGCAAAATTTCATACTTTATGAAAATACTGTTGCGGCTGGCTCGCTTTGTCGCTGAATACCGGTCGGTCTAGGTGATTCAGTTATTGTTCATGCCGTGTGAAGAACACGGTGGCATGTTAGAAACGTCCCCATCAGTAATTTTATCCATCTTGCCTTTGTACCTCAGACTATTGAATCAAAAGTCTCTCTGTGCGCAAGACTTCAAAGTTGAAACTTGTATTGAAAAACTGTTGATTAGATCGAACTGTATTATACGATACGTTCGCGTTTTAGAGCATTTCTAACTGTAATTACTGATGACAAGGCAATTTATTTGCTTTAATTTAAATGCAGGGTGAATAAGATGCTTTCACCGATGGTGTTTTCATGTTTTGTTTGTCCTCGTGAAACTTTCTATGGCATTGTCTTCGCCGTTAACTTGCGTACTGTTGTATATAATGTGACGTTGCTTCGATGGCTTTTAATTCTGAAAAGCGTCGTGTGTCCTCTAGCAGTTAGCTAAATGAACGGTTAAATCTGATATGGTTATACCAGTACCACGTTCATCTCGAATCCAATCCGTCTTTTTCTACGTTTCGGGTGTGCAAGCTTTT